AGACTCTAGAAGCACTTCGAGAGGAGTTGGTGGTTGCCTGGAATGAGATACCACAGGGACATTGACCACCTGATCGGAAGCATGCCTAGGCGCGTTGGAGAATGCGTAGCACATCAGGGTGCATCCACATATTATTAAAGGTCAAAGGGCTTTAAAGCAGTGCAATCATTTTGAAATTTTTATCATTTACTTATTATGCTTCATTAAGTACTTATACAAAATTTTATTAAAATAAAACCATTTAAACTGGGTGTTCGGATTTATATGTCACTTAGTATATAATTTGTATTCATCTGAAATTGATTGGAACATAAATGCTTATGTTGTGTTAAATTAATAGCGATAAATATATTAAATATTGAATTCATATTACATCACAGTACTGTTACATATAAAGTGATTAAATTCAAAAATTTTCTAATACGAAAATAAATGATTTCAATATGCTTAAAAAATGTGAAATAAAAAAAGTATTTGAAAACATAAGTATCAATTTTAAATGAATTAATAAAAGTAATTATTGATAGAAATATTAACCTTGTAGTGCTAGGTATCGATTGATGTAAGCCAAGGCATAGTTGTAGGCTAGGTCGTTATCATTTAAGCGTCGTATATAATCTTCAGATAAATGATATTTAAATTGTTCCCACAATGCTAATGGATTTTCGATTTCACAAAACAGCAACATCTGTGAAAACATACGACGAAGAGCTCGTGGAAGTTGTACGTGTATAGCTTCTTGCAACATGGTGAACCAAATACTATCGTCCGTGAGAAGGTTCATCGCAATAGCAGCGTCACGGAACGTTTCGTACGTACGGCCATGTACAGTACTAATGTCTTCGAATGATCTACATCCTGTTTTATGCAAAAGACGTTGACGAAGATAAAATCTTTCACCTTCTCTAGGATGTACAAAATATAATCTAGGAATTATACGATTAAAATGACGTTGACGTTCTACCCAGATTCTTGTTTGTGTTATTTTCCACACATAGTTATAAGGTATCTGTACGTATGTGTATTGTCTAGCTTCTTCATCTTGGGTATTTAAGGCGAACCATCCTGTTAACGTAGTGTGTTGTGTTGCGGCCCTTTCTACGACGTCAGGAATGGTACTATTTGTATTAAAATAGACTTGTTGCATATTCGGAAGATGTACAAAGAGTTTAATAATAGCATGAGACATATCGTGCATTTCGAATGTATAAATCCTCCACATCGCCTCAGGCGCGCTAACATAGCGAACGTCCAGAAACATTTGAATTTCGTTGTACATAGGTTCCTGGATAGTTGTTGTTTGACCGTCTTCTTCCACGGTTCGTACGACAATTTGAGCTCTATCAAATCCTTTGTATATATATTTAAGTAAATATTTTACGCTTTTCATTGAAGAGCAAGCCTCCACGTTAATGTGAGCTTCGTATTTTTCAAGTAGATAAGCGTTATATGGTACAACCCAACTATTATCTACCGTTCTTCGACCTATATGTATAGGTGTTTCTATTGGCCGTCTTTTATATAACGGATATCCAGAGGGATTGTATAAGGTATCTTCACGCAAAGATTTCGGGAATTGTTTGCTGCAATGTCCTTCTTCATCTAAGCATCGAGCACTGGTACAAGGTCCATGAAGCATATGTACTTTGACCAATTCGTGCAAGTTGGCATGCGCGATAGGGTCGGGAAATTCTGCTGAAATTAAACGGTCGATTGCTGCAGGGTCCAATATTTTGTCTGATTCTTCTAACCAAATCAACATATGCGCATGCGGAAGTCCTCTTTTCTGAAATTCTATTACGTAAACGTAAGCAACATAAACTCCCATAATATGTCGTTTATCAATATCTTCTATTAATTCCTTTAATTTGCTCTTGAACACTCTGGATACAAAATTAGGTCTATTTGAGGAATGTTGATTTGCATCTAAGTTATTTCCTGATTTCAGGCCATGCAGGATTGCAAGTAAATGTTAGGAAAATATCTGGTTTCCCGTATTTTGTGACTATAGACATGGCATCCAAATAGTTTTGTCTAAATGCGCGTGGACTTCCTATGAATGTCGACGGTAGGATGAAAATATTTCCTGGTTGATAATGAACATCTAATTGTCTAGAGTCTAAATAGTCGATTAATCCTTGAAATATTTCTTGCCTAATACGTGGTTGATTTTCAGTAATAAATTGTAGTCGACTTGTTCGATTTTTACGTATGCATCTACGATGTACTGTTGTGTTAGCTTGCCTGCCATTACAAATTGGTTGAAGGTATTTGGTCGAACAGCTATTCTGAAACTATAATATTCCAGTAACGATATATAGCCTCTTCTATATTGATGTGGTGTTCTAGACTGCCATCCTGCTTCACCTCTTGGATGTAATAGAGGATAGGTCATTGCATCGCAATTGACACTAAGATATGGTAATTTGTGGATAGTCTGGTCGTTGTCTCGACAATAAACATGTAAGCACGATCCAGGGGCGGTCTCCCATCTTCAGAAATAAATACGGCTGCTATTTCATTGGCCTGTACCGCGCCATATTGTCTGAAATTGATATCCGAGCACGGTTGTTATTGATGTACAATTCCAATGTTGGATGACGATTGCTTTGTTGTTGTTATTGATAGACATCCTTAAGAAATCTATATGCTTGAGCAAATGGATTGTGATTGTACAAGTAATTAGAGATGAGGTCGACGATTTCTCGATTTAATTCTGCTCGATTTTGTGGACCAACAGACCGAAGTGGATTTGCCAGTTCAGTTTCCAAAAAATATAAATTGCCATATTGTCTGTGTTCATTTGAAATATTAGTCGAAATATTTGATATATGATGTCTTATTTCTCCTTGTACCTGGAAAGAAAAGCAAATTCATTATAAAAGGGATAAAAAATTTATAATAATATAATTGATTTAAAAAAATGAAATAATTGGTTTCTAATGTATTATTGTTCTTTGTATGTGGATAAAATAAATAGCATTGTAGAAAAAGGTAAAACAGATGAACGATATGAATTATATATATATATGTATATACAGGGTGTCCGCAAAGTTGGGGTTTTCCTTTTCAGAAACAACTACCCTTGAAATAACAAAGGTAATGTGTAGTGAAACGAGGGCGACCAAGTAAAAAAAATAAAGGAAAAAGTACTCACTCTCCAGTTGACGAGAAGGGCTAAGTACGTCTCTGCCCGAAATCATACCGCTCCAACAGAAAATGAAATCAGCTGAAGCGCTACCGAGCAGACGAGAAACCACATTGATTGTCTTACACTTAACGGCACATCTTCTAACAAGGAAGGCAAAATGTTGCGTAATTGCGTGCGAATTTTCTACTGACCAACAATGAGTGTTGCGAAAGTTATTCACCCCATTACGAGTGAACGTGAGATTCGTCTGTCACCAATATGCACTTCAAAAGGTCCGGATTATTGTCATGTTGATGCAAACAACCACTCACAAAACCGCACTCTTGCTGGAAAAATCAATCAGGTTGAAGGGCTTGTACACGTTGGACGTGAAACGGATACAGCCCCTCTTCACGCAGCGTTTGCCACACTTTAGCTTTTGATACTTGCGCTTCTCTAGACACGTCTCTAGAAATTCTCGTCTACGCGATTACCTCTACATGCGTGACCGTAAACCACCGGTTGAAGGTTGCATACTGACCTGACACACTGACCCCGAACAGTTCTGCCGTCGCGTTGAGACCTTGTACCAATCTGTCCCGGGTCGCGGCTATAGGACGGTATTCAGATATTTTTGATGTTGCAGAGCCCTTTATCTCGGTTCCCTTTGGTATATATGGTACTAAGAAAAATTGCTTATGTTTTCAAGATCTACACGTCGTGTAAAGGAAAACCCCAACTTTGCGGACGCCCTGTATATGTATATATATATATATATATATATTACTTCTTTTCGATAGTGATAAGAAATTAATTTAAAATAGTTAAAAAAGATTTTGTGTTAATATCTCATATTTATATAATATTTTCATCTTTGGTGTCACAGTCTGTTATGATTAAATGGTAGGGTTTTTAAGAAACTTTATCTATACAGAAATATGTGAGTTGATGAAAAGTATATCTTGAAAGTATTTTGAAATATACAGGGTATTTCGAAAAGGTGTGAGAGTTGATATTTAATCTAAAAATTGTTGACCAAGCACTTTGAAGGGAAGAGGTTGTAAGACGCGCGACAGAGAGGAAAAGTACACAGTATTTCTTTGGTTAAAGTGTATATAGGTCAAAATTAAAATTCCACGACTTGGCTTGGCAGGTCATATATCAGATTGGCTTTTTTTCTGGAAAGTACCTATAGAGGTATGAGACTTTGTGAAATTTTAGGATTCTAGATCGAATAATCCGGTTTTAAATACGCGCTTGGAGTTTGTAAGTCAAAATGTACATTTTAGCGCTTTAGCAACTTTCAATTTCTCGGGGCAAACGAAAAAGGCATGTTATGTCTTTATAGGTTCGCTTCAGCAACAATTGAACGCAATATGTGCCGTGAGTCGTTTTATAGAATCATGGGAATTGTCAATTTTGATTTGAAACATCGAAAATTGAATCCAAAGTTTTTCTGATCAATGTAAATGGTCCATTACGAATTTATATATAAGGTTTAACTGCTATATGGAAAAATAGTTTTGTGAATTTTTTTGTTTGTAACGTATTCTAATTGTCTACCTAATAACGAACCAGTCAATAATTGCGAAAAAAAAATATTTGATTGAAATTTTTGTCCAAGAAATCATTATATAGCAATTTTAAGATATATTTTTTTTTGGAGTTCGGTCCTGCTACCGAGTCAGTTAGTCTATCTGATAGTGAGCTCGTGAATTTACCATATTAAAAGTGAACCATAACACAAACAACTTTCGACTTGCTACCATATAGTGCAAATCACGAACCAGGACGCATTGTGAGTAGGAATATTGTGCTATATACCGAAGACATACGTAAATCAGTGGATCAAATATTCAACATTCCAATCTCAAGCGTTCGGAAAAACGCGTCCAGAATTTGGACCTCGAAAGAACAGGTCCGTATTCAGAAATGATATTTTCCCTTACTGATATAAAACATTAGCAACAATGACATCAACACCGATTAACCAACCCACACACTATTCCACAATTCTAACTACATACAAACATCCAACTAAAGAACAAGCTATAGTTTTCAATTCCATAGACGGAGGAAGAATACAAGATTACTTGCTCCAATTAGGACCAATGATTGACCCGAAGAACATTTTGTTTTGCTCTAGAATTTCCAATAACAGAATTTGCATATACCTCTCCAGCAAGGAATTAGTAAATAAATTCGTAGAGAACCCAGGGGAAATTGTAATACAAGGAGAAAAAATTAAGGCCCGTAAATTAATTTCACCATCGGACAGGTTAGTGCTATCGAACGTCTGCCCAACAATACCACACGCAGTTTTAAAGGAAAAACTACAAGACCTAGGCTTGAAATTACTATCTTCCATAACATTTTTGAGAATCGGAGCAACAGTACCAGAATACAATCACATATTAAGCTTCAGGAGGCAGGCATGTTATATGCACTCAAAACAATGGACTTACTATTCCATACAATGTTGCACCAGACGCTAGCTCAGCAACAGATAACGACTTCTCGCTAACTCGTTGTTTACGCTTTATTTTCTAGAGGTGCTTTGTAAGCACACCAATAGTATAAATAGGCCTTGCGCCCATTTCATGTCGTTCATTACCCGGCTAGGCACCGTAACAGTCACTTATGTAAACTCCGTAAATGTCACATTTGTAAACCTTTGTATTTTATATGGACTGAAGGTTCAGTCCTCAAATAAATTTTTTTAAAAAGTTATTTCTAAATCTAATGATTTAAGAAATTGGTGTCAGAAAAGTGGGATAGCTTCAACGCATTAGAACACGTGCATACTAACTAGTGTGGTGGATGCCTATCCTTTAAACTGAAAAGGACCAACGAGCCTTAAGAAGAAAGAAACCTATTGAAGAAAGAAAACTACAAGTAAGAAACAACAAAGCAACAAGAAGAAGGAAATAACAGGGGACACAGCGAGCAGCAGCCACCCAACTGCAGACAGACTACTAGAAACATCGCAAGAGATCCACTAGCCGCCTGGAGAACACGACTGCCTCCCGATGTACCCTTGGTAACGTACAATTTTAATCTAACTGTTTTTTGCGATTTATCTCTGTGTGTGTGATTGTTACAACCTTTTATTTGCATTTTTGCGCATTTACTCTATATATTTCGATTTTCACGTATTTTTTCCCCATTTTTACGTATTTTTCTATTTTACTTTATATCTTTTTGCATTTTCCCTTGACATTATTGAATCTTTTTGAAACAACTTTCCATTTAAAATGTCTACTAACGGTTCAGATGATTACCAACCAGCTGAAATTCCTGATAACGTTCATTGCGAACATTGAACCTTATAGATTATCTGAAATATTTCGATTGTACCCGAGTACGATGGAAACCCGATATTGCTATCGACCTTCATCAACGCGTGCCGAACGGCATATCAAATGGCCGTCGAGGAGCAGCGGCTTCTCGTCGTTATACATATTAAAAACAAACTTCGCGGACGTGCCGCCGAACTTGTGAACAGCCGAACCCTACCACGTGGGAAGACATACGGTCCCTGTTAGAAAACGCACTTTGGAGATCTTAGAGATCTCACATCTTTAATATCGCGGATCTTCAACACATGCGCCAACTCCCCAACGAATCACCCCTAACCTTGCATCTAGACTGCAGACGCATGCAGCCAAAATGCATCCGCCGTGAATAGGCAAAATCTAAATCGCGAGCAAAATCTGCTCAAAGTTCCCTCATCGAACGATGACATTAAATTGTCTATTAAAGGATTAGACTCAAAAATAGGACCTGTTGTGCGATCAGGACATCCCACGGATATCTTGACCGCAGTTTCGTTTATCAAACGAGAGTTACAACTTTCATATTGGAACGACAAAAATTCGCCAGAGCCCCAAACCCGAATCAAAATTCAGTTATTCGAAGACCAAACCCTAAAATGTGTAATTTTTGTAATCGTCCCGGTCACTTGGCAAATGAATGCCAACGGAGACAAAGCCTACAAGCTTTGCCCCAAGACAGTTTACCAGCCCCAACCTCAAAATTACCCTAGGCCGAATCAACCTATTGCAAGTTAGACCATCTACAATCTACTACCATCAAATTCTAATCAATATCCTCCCAGACCATCTGTAATACGACCAAATGTGCCTAACGCGAGTGCGCCAAGACCCTCTGTAATTCAGAGCATCCAATTTCCAAACCCTAATTTTCAAAGAAATTTTAGACCAAAATCCTCCCAATCGAATTAATTATGTCGCCCCCGATTCTTACGATTATTCCGACTACGGTGAACCAGACCTATACAACACGGACTACGCTAATGAATATGACGATACCCAGTACTCCGCCTACACACCTTCCCCATACGATGATTTTAGAGAACCCAGTAACGATTATTGTTACGAATATAATCAAACCGCCGATACATTTGTTGGCGAACTTAGCGAATCTCAGTGTCGAGGACCCGAACGCGAAACCGTGTGCGAGCGTCAACAACACATGCGATCAGATGTTCATATAAACCCTCCGTTTATAGTCCCGTCGACAATTCACCCAGTTAGCCCAGACAACTTATATTACATTAAAGATGCTACTGGAAAATTCAAAATTATCATTGACAGTGGTGCAGGTTGCTCCATTTTCAAACGTAACACTTGTCAAAATTATACTAATCGTGTCACAGAAAATATCTCTATCCGAGGTATTACTGACGAAAAAATTAGTATTACCGAAGCAGTCTTAGTCCATTTGCTCCCAATGATTATCACAAAATTTATGTCCATGATCTAGATATTTCATTCGATGGCCTTCTTGGGTCAGATTTTCTTGAACATTATGATTGTATTATTGATTTGAAAAATCGTCAATTGATTACAAATTTCATAACAGTCCCTCTTTTCAAAGTAGGTGACGAAAATAATTCCAAAGCGCCTAATTTAAAGAAAAGTCCCAAGCTTCGCAATTTAAAGAAAATTCTCAAGTTCAAAATGTTATTTCCATTCCTCCCAGAGTTGAACAAGTTGTCAAGCTCAAATCCGAGCTTAGAAATACTGAAGCCATTCTTCTGGCATGTGAGGTAGAAAAAGGCCGTCTACCCAGTTCCATAGTTAAAATTGATTCTAAAGGCGAATTCCTTACTACAGTATTAAACTGTAATGCCATTCCAAAAAATGTAATTTTACCCCAATTAACTTTCGAGCCCTTTAACGAAACTTCTATCAATAATTTCAACACTTCTTTACAAAATCAAAGTCAGTATAACCGTAGAGATGTTATTAGAGATCAATTACGTCTCGATCATCTCAACGAAGAGGAAAAAGATTTAATTACGAATCTTTGCTTAGATTTTTCGGACATATTCTATTTAGATGGTGATAGCTTGTCATTTACAAACGAAATTAAGCATTCCATTGATACCACTACCAGTAAACCAATTTTTACCAAATCCTACCGATAGAAGTCAAAGATCAAATTTCGAAATTACTAAAACAAGGTATTATCGAACCTAGCACATCGCCATGAAATTCTGCGGTGTGGGTTGTACCAAAGAAAATGGACGCCTCTGGTAAACAGAAATGGCGTATGGTGATTGACTATCATAAGCTTAACGAAATCACCATCGATGATAAATATCCCCTGCCAAACATTTCCGATCTACTTGATCAATTAGGGAAATGCCAGTACTTTAGTACACTGGACTTGGCATCTGGATTTCATCAAATCGAGATAAATCCAGTTGGTGTTCCTAAAACTGCATTTTCAGTTGAAAACGGACATTACCAATTCTTGAGGATGCCTTTTGGTCTCAAGAACGCTCCTGCCACGTTTCAACGTGTCATGGACAACATCTTGATGGGTATACAAAACGAAAGATGTCTTGTATACATGGATGACATAATTGTCTATTCCCCCTCCATCCAAGAACACATCAGTAGGCTTACCGAAATTTTTACGCGTCTTCGGAAGTCGAATTTCAAAATCCAGCCTGATAAGTGCGAATTCCTCAGAAAGGAAGTAGCCTATCTTGGTCATGTAATAACCCCTGATGGCGTTAAGCCCAATCCAGATAAAGTGGATTGCATAAAAAATTTCCCTCAACCCAAGAATCCTAAAGAAATAAAATCTTTCTTAGGTCTTGCAGGTTACTACCGACGCTTTTACCAAACTTTGCCAAAATTGCGAAACACCCTTAACAGAATATTACAGAAAGACGCAGTATTTGACTCTGATAGCGAGTGTGTAAGTCCATTTGATACTTTAAAAAATGCTTTAACACATCTCCTATACTGATCTACCCCAACTTTGAAGAGCCTTGTGCTTACAACAGACGCAAGCGCTTTTGCGATATCTGGCGTTCTTTCCCAAGGTCCCATAGGTAAAGATCTCCGATAGCCTATGCATCTCGTACACTTTGTAAAGCAGAAACGAGATATTCCACCATTGAAAGAGAACTTCTAGCTATTGTCTGGAGTGTAAAACATTTTAGACCTTATTGTATGGTCGAAAGTTTAAACTCGTAACAGACCATAGACCCCTTACGTGGCTTTTCTCTTGCCGAGACACCGGAAGTAGATTAGCAAGATGGCGCCTCAAGCTAGAGGAGTACGACTATGAAATAGTGTACAAGCCAGGCAAGGCTAATAAAAATGCCGATACCCTATCACGTATCAAATTACCCAAAACTGTTAACGCCCTTACCCATAGTGACGAAGAAGGAGAACCTTCTACCCAATTTTCCGAAAGTGAATTTGATATCTTTGCCCGCCTTTACAAAACCACATCCCTGATCGATTATTCCAAAATTCAATTTTCAAATTCCCAACTCCTAGACAAAAGTCATAAACATATCGTCACGTTTTTCAGACAAAACACTCTATCTGATCTTCACAAAAAAATTATCGAAGACATATTCGAGGAAAATCTTGATTTTTCTGCAGATAAAATTAACATCGCGTCTAGCAAAACAATTAAACATAGAAAATACTATATTATTCCTGTGCCACACGATCCCGTAACTTGCATACAGCATCTTTTCTCTGTAATTTTAACCAACAAAGGTGTATTCGACCTATCCCAACAAATCTACGTTGAAAATAATTTGGGACCCATTTTAGAAATTTTCTCTCTTATTTTTTCGGATGATAATATCAAACTTGTCGTTTGCCAAAACGTCACCAAACTCCTAGTCCCGATGAAATCCCCGTCATTTTAGATCATACCATTGTGGTAAGAAAAACATTCATCGAGGAATTAATGAAACAATTAGGCGAATTCGTGAACGATATAATTGGCCCGGCTTAACTAAAGACGTTGAGCATTTCATCAAAAAGTGTGAAATTTGTCAAAAGACCAAAATTTGTCGTAAAAAAACCTCAGTGCCCCTTTTGTAGTAACTGAAACCCCTAAAGCCCCGTTCGAAAGAATCAACATTGACATTTTGGAAGTCCCACCTAAATGCTACGCTCTCACAATCCGAGACGAGCTAACAAAATTTTCTCAAGCCTATCCAATTAGCGACAATCTGCAAAATCTGTAGTAAATACACTACTTTTATATTTCCAACATTATGGTACGCCTCTCCGAATACACTGTGATTACGGAAAAGATTTGACAACGCCCATGAAAGACCTTTGTAGTCTTTATGACATTAAATTAACTTTTTCTAGTGTCAGTCATCCCCAGTCCAAGGCTCGATTGAGCGATTTCACGCCACCTTATTGGAAATGATCAGATCCCATGTATCCGAAAATCCCGACGAACATCCCTTCAATATTCTTCCCTATGCTGTTCAGTGCTACAATAGTACTAGAAATAAAACTACTGGCTTTACACCATACGAGCTCGTGTTTGGCCACACTCTGGTCGTCCGCCCGAACACGTATATTTAGAAAAGAATTGATGTCCAAGTATGTTCGAGACATTCGGAATAAACTCGAAATTACTACAAAATTACCCGCGTGAGAACTGACGAACAGAAGCAAAAAGCAAAATCGCTTGGAGTGTCACCCAATTTACAATCATATGAAATTGGCGATAAAGTCTTTGTGAAACAGTCTCAAATTTCAACAAGCTTCAGAACAAATTTGATGGTCCATTCGAAATTACTCAAGTTTTTGAAAATTCTGCGCTCCTTAAGAACCCGGAAACAAATAGAATAAGTAAAGTTTAATTTTGACAGACTGAAACATGTTTTGAGACTTAGTCTCTTTCAGGTGCAGTCTGCTGTTTCTTGCGGCTGTCACAGCCCGATAGACATCAACCGCTTAACAACAACCCTTAGGTCTATTTTCATGAAGACGCCCCTCTTAAGATTTCCAACGAAATTGGACACTCCTTGTATATAAAGACTTAGAACTCATTAAGAAAGCACTTGACGATAACCAAATATATTCTGGAACACTTATCATATCTCGTAGACAAACCAACCCACCAACGTATGAAAATATTTAGTGGTGAAATTAAAACTCATACAAGTCTCCTTTATCAAATTTCTCGGTCCTTGGAATCTAATATTACGCAATCTTCGATGACACTGTAAGCGCATCGCGGATGAAACGCGGTCTGATTAACGCTATAGGTACTGTATGGAAAGCAAATAACCGGCAACCTCGATTCATCGGACGGTGAATACTATAACGATTGTATTAACAAAATTTCTAAAGATGAACATGAGCTCGAAAACCTCATGAAGAACCAATTTCTGTTACCATGTCGGTTATCAAGAATTTAATAACACTATTCAAAAACTTATGATTGATGAAACTACGTTAATGAAGATATTAAAGTCATTGAAAACAAAATTTATGAAATTTCAGACGATCTTGCATTTTATGAAGCTAAATTCCAATTTTTAGAAGTTTGCGAACAATTAATGGAAAGCTACATGTTTCTGGAAGAGACAATTAATGATATTCTAAATTCAATTACTTTTGCACGTTTAAAAATAATACATCCTTCTATTATCACTCCTCAAGACTTAGTAAATTCTCTTCAAGAATTTCTCACACACTTTGTCGAGAAATAATTTAACCCTTCCGGTTAATTTAGCAACAGTGTCAGAGTACCTTAATCTTATGGAAATCGAAGCATATCAAACTAAAACAAGAGAGTATTCGTTCTACGCATCCGTATTAGAGCCCGAAATGTATACTTTATACAGAGTGATTCCTCTACCACTCTCGATAAACGTACTGGTTTGTTTCATGTAGTCTCCACTATAACAGAGGTACATTGCTAAAGATAGCGATTCTCTTTTGTAC